TCAGGGTCCTGGGATCGAGCCCCGAGTCAGGCTCCCTACTCAGTGGGGAGCATGCTTCTCCCTTTCCCTCTTCCTGCCATTCGGATTGCTTGTGCTCTCTCTCTCTGTATCTCTCTGTCAAATAAATAAATAAATAAATAAATAAATATCTTTTAAAAAAAGAATTAACCAATATGACAATGTACAGATGAATTGAGGGCTACCACATGGCAGGCATGATGCTAAGTACTGTGGGCCATGGGGGACAGGGGGGTACCCCAGGTGCACAAGGCATGGTGCCCGCCTTATATGAGTAACGTGGAGCGTGTGAAGAGTAGGGGTTTGGGAGGAGGAGGAGGAGGAGGACCACTGTGATGGTAATGCAGCTCACAACCTAGTGGGGGAGATAAAAACTTTGACCAGAGTGTTTTTGGTCTGTCTCTACAACCTAGAAAGGAAGCTCCACGAGAGCTCAGTCACTCATCACTGTCACTGTGCCTTCTCTGCCTAGCAAAAGACGAGCACACAGTAACTGGTGGATAAATATTTACCGAGTGTAGGAGTGAAAGGTGTTTACACAATGCTAACAGAGCGCCGATGAGAAGGAAGTTAATTCTGAGAACAGCAGAAAGCTTCATGAAAACAGAGGATTTCTCAAATGTAGACTGAGAATGAGTTGTCAAGTTTTGGCCGCAGAGAAGGGGGACTGGGAGGAAAACCAAAGGGCCAACATGAGCAATGTCAGGAGTGTTGGTGGGGTCCCTTCCTGGAGAGGAGACAGCAACTGGAGGGCTCATCCTGGTCTGAGCATCACCCATATGCGTACCCTCCGAGCTGGTTCCTCTGAGCCCATCTCACGGAGTATCCTGAAAGCAATTCGAGGTCTGAACTGCTCAGATTTGGCAAAGGACAACTGCACTGACTTCCAGGCTGCTGTGAAAAGTCCCCCTCGGTAGAGTTGAGCCCATGGGTACAATGTGAGTTTGGGCACATTTTTCCTTGTAGTTTGGGTGTTTGAATGTGTGCCCAGAGGCTGCTGAAATACATCTCTTTTTAGAATCTAAGCAAGCACACAGGGACAGGGAAAGCCAGAGATAGTGGAAATGCTGGGGGAGGTGGGGGACATCTGGTTGGGGCAGGGGGCAGACATCTTGGTTGACAGAGGACATCTGGACCAGAGATGAAGAGGGATCCTGGCAAGAGTCCAGAGCTCTTAGCTCAAAGACCTTCACCAGCCTGCTTCTCCAGCAGAGAAATAAATCCTCTCTCTCTCTTTTTTTCTTTCTAGACCCCAGAGAAGGCCAAAGAAAGCTTGACACAGAATAGCACGATTCAGCCCCTTCTTCTGCAGCAGACCAGGAAGGATATGAGATCAGTTAGAGGAAGTGAAATGTTAGTGGTCTACAGTTTCAGTTGAAACTGGTGCTTCAAGCTCAAGGTAATTCAGAGCTTGAGGCATAAACCTTAGACTGATGTTCAGCTTCTCTGCCAACTTCATGCTGCCAAACACCACGGCTTCTTACTAGTGTCCCTAACCCACTGCCCTTCAGGCTTTCTGTAGTTGGAGAGTCACATATTGGGTGCGCTTTCTGGTCTTACATCAGGAGACTGAAACCAGAGATTGGAATAAATGAGGGGACTGATGAATAGTGCAGAGAACATAGTGGAGCGAGCATGGCTTTACTGACCAACATTTCCTTGTCCAGACTATTGGGTGAGGTTGCTTTGGGCACGCAGGCAGCTCCCCTGGGTAGCTCTTTGTTTGTTTGTTTGCTTGCTTGTTTACATGAGGTGATTTCTAAAGCAGATTACCATACCTTCCTCTCAGAAGGCATGGCTACACAATTGTTGTGTTTACTTCATATGGTGCCCAACTGAGGCTCCCTTCCTTATTGTCTGAACAAAAGCAAGAAGGGGCAACTATGGAGAAGGAACACCATGCTTAGGAAAATGACCTGGAAAGAGAAAACCTCATTTGTGAATTTTTTATGTGAGTAGAAGCAAGAAAGAGCAGGCTGGTGGTGGCAGAAAAATAAATAAGTGAGTTAAAAACCAAGCTCAACAAAATCTCCCAGGATCTCTTTATTTTTTTCAAGAACAAAGAGATAAAAATTCTTAGAAAACAGATAAGAGACATAAAAGGTGGTATTTGCTATCCAAAAAAATATATAATAGCTGTTTCAGAAAGAGAGAAGAGAAAAGCCAGAAGTGTAGCATTCAGCAATTTAGCATCGATTTTATGAGAACAGACATCTGAATCTGAGATACCCAGGCTTGAATCTGAGCACAGGTGCTTATCACTGTGTAAACTTGGACAATTTCCTTAACCTCTCTGTTTCAGTGTTCTGGTTTCATAAAGCGAGTAATACTAATAGAATAGACTTTTAGGGTAGTTGGGAAAATTACATGAGGTGATGTTCGTAAGATAATTTGTAGGAGGCGAATATGTAATAAGCACTCAATAAATGTCACCTGTTATGGGCTGAATTGTGTCCCCCCCACCCCCTGCAAAATTCATACATCGAATTGTATGTATCTCAGAACGTGATTGGGGGATAGGGTCTTTAAGGGGGTGATTAAGTTAAAATGAGACTGTTGGGGTGGGCCCAAATCCAACCTAACTGGTGTTCTTATAAGAAGAGGAAATTTGGACACATCAACAACAGGATGCATGCACACAGAGAAAAGGCCGTGTAAGGACACAGCAAGAAGGCTACCATCAGCAAGTCAAGGAGAGAGGCCGCAGGAGAGATGCCCTGACCTTGGACTTCTAGCCTCCAGAAAATAAGTCTCTATCGTTTAAGTCCCCAACCTGTGGTGTTTTGTTAAGGTGACCCTAGCAAACAAATACATCCCCTATCGTTATGTTTTGTTTTTTTTAATCCAGATGCAAAGCTGAGGACTACGTTGCCCTTGGTTTTCCATACTGACAAAGTCTCCCAAACCAGCTGTCCACATTCCCTTTCAGCCCTGCCGCATTGGCCAAGCCGCTGCAGAGACCCTCATCTTATGACTCACGTGGTTTCTGGGGTCAGTGCAGGGCGCAGATCTCTGTAGAGGCCAGCTGACAGTTGCTATGAGTCAACAGCAGAGAAGTCCCTGAGATTCGAAGACCTGCTTCATTCCCCAGCCCCTCACTCATTTGGGTATGCTGAGAGCATGTCACCCAAAATAATGAGGCTCTCTCTTGGTTTGCAAATGCCCCTTTTGAAGGTCAGAAGGTCAGATTCCACCAAACGCTGCCACAGATGTGGTTTTAAAATAGTCCCTTCAGAAGCCCACAATTAAAGCCTAATTGCACATCCTGGCCAATTAGTGAAGGAGTTGCCCTTTCTCGGGATGGCAGAGTCCTCAAAAATCCATAGTCTGAAAAAAGGATGTTTGCTCTCCCCTTCACCCCCAACAACCCACTCTTTCTTCAATGGCAGAGACCTTAGGAACCTCTGACATTATCTGTAACCTTGGAAAAGTTACTTAACCTCTGACCCTGATGGATTACCTATAGGATGGTGCTAACAACACTTGTTGTCTGAAGGATCAAATGAGATCATTCATTCATTCATTCAACCAATATTTATTGAGTGACCTACTCTACATTCAATTCTTTCACTCTACAAACATTTACTGAACATTTGCTACATATCAGCCCCATGGGGACTGATTCACAGCAGTGAATAATATCTAGGAGGTCTCAGCTCCCCGAGAGCTTACCTTCTGGGAAGGAGACAAAGAACAAGTGGACATATCAGCAAGATAACTTCAGATGGGGACCTGCTGAACAGGAACAAACGCAGGAAGGAGGTGGAAACTAACAAGGGGCAGGTGAGATGTGGCATGTCACAGCAGGGTTCTCAGAGTTGGGACATGCGAGGACCTGGGGAAAGAACATGTTACCAGAAGAGGGCAAAGGAAACCGCCGTGCAGAGGCTCTGAAAAGAGAGATGTATTTAAGGAACAGGAAAGAACAGAAGGGCAGAAGAGGAGAGGGATCTAGGTGAGACTGGAGAGGTGGGCAAAGGCTAGTTCACATAGGGTCTTCCAGAACTCAATGGAAAGCATGGAAAGTTCTTTTGGTCCGCACAGATCAAAGAACTACAACACCAATAACTGAACCTAAGTTAAGACAGAGAGTGGGTGTTTGAAGATGGGGTCTGAGATCAGGCAGAGCCTCCCTGGCTGGGGTCAGAAGTTTGGATTTAATTCGGGTTCTAACTCAGTGGTTCTTTTTTTTTTTTAAGATTTTATTTATTAAAGTAATCTCTACACTCAGCGTGGGGCTCGAACCTACAGAGTTGCTCACCTATACCAACTGAGACAGCCAGGCTCCTGCTAATGCAGTAGTTCTTAACATGGACTACACACTGGAATCACCCAGGAAGCTTTAAACAAATACTGATGTCTGGGCCCCACCTTCACCAATTCTGGGGTGAACTCTGGCATTTGGGGATTTTTTTTTTTTTTTTTTTTTTTTTTTGAGAGAGAGAGCAAGCTAGGGGCAGGGCAGAGGGAGAGAGAGAATCTTAAGTAGGCTCCATGCCTAGCGTGGAGCCTGATGTGGGGCTCAATCTCAAGACCCTGAGATCATGACCTGAGCCAAAAACAAGAGGTGGACACTTAACTACTGAGCCATCCAGGCACCCCAGGGATTTTTTTTAAAGCCCTCCAATGACTCTAACGGCCAGCCAAGGTTGAGAAGCCACTACAGGAGGCTTTTAAGCAGGAGATGACATGATCTCAATTTTCTTTACGAGAGACACTCTGACTACCACCTAAATTCATGATGCTCCCACAACAGTGTCCTGTACATAGTTAATACTTGATGTTTTCTTCCTTCCCTCCTTTCAGTCATTCAGAAATTGGGAATTGCTGAACACTGCAGAGAGAGAGAGCCCAACCAGATACCGAGAGGGAAGTATCTTAGTGAATCTGCCTCCAGCTAGTAACTTTTTCTCCTTCCTCTGTTCTTGGAGTTGTCCATTTATCCCCCTTCCAGACCCAGAGACGCATCTCCTGTTTTTCAGATCCAAACTTTGCATCTTCTTTGACAGTCCTGAGGACCCCCCAGCGTCCCCAAGCAGAGTAGCTCCAAGGAACACTCAGAAGCAACTTGGTGAGTTTATTTTGATGATACAATAATTATCATGCTTAGCAGCTGTTGCCATTTAAAATAAGAAAAACCTGGGCTTGAATTTAAACTGTTTGGTAAAGCATGTGCCCCACCAATCTGGTCCAACGAAATCAGACATTATGAAATCCACAGAAGAACTGGAGCTTGTTACAGGAAGTTAAGATGCAAATCATATTTTGTTTCAAATGAGCCCGATGAATGCATAATTTTCCACAAAGAAATACTTTTGTGTCAGGATCCTTCTGCCAAGAATCGAAGTTTTGGGGCTTGCAGCTGTTAGCAGTGTCTGATTGTCCATTTCAAACTGCAGGCAGCTCTGCTTTTCTAAGGAGGATTTGGAGCAAAGACAGGAAGAGGACAGAGCTGCGCTCATCAATTGTCTTCCAGAATATTCTCTATGAGCTCTGCCTGTGCTTCCCAGATGATCATACTTGCCCTCAGAATTTGCAAAGACTGGCCCCCAAAGGTGAATCAATAGCTACTCCCAACTTATTATTCATCCAGAAGGGGCTTCCCCCCCCTTTCCTCCAGCGCCTTCTCTGAGCATTAATTCCATCTGCCAGTAGTCTTTTGATTGCAAGTGGAAGAAACCCAATTCAAATGAAATAAATACATAAAGAAAGGCAAGTTGGGGAATTATTTGTTCTTTTACCTGGAAAGTCCAAACATGATTTGCCTTCAGGTACATGGGATACAGGTTGAGGGGGAACAGGAGAAGGACTTGGTCTCAGACAAGTGAAAGATTTAATGATCAAAACTGCGGACCCTGCATTTGTTGTCACGGATTTGCAAGGTATGACTTCTCAAGGTGTGTGATTTTTCTCCAGTTGTAGATGCAGAAATGACCGAGTAAAGGGTCTGGACAGCACTGGGCTCAGCAGGGACAGTAAATAGATAGAGTCAAGAAATACAAAGGACATGAGCATTCAGAAGACCATCCCTGAAATGGGTCTGAGTAGAGAAGGGAGCAAAGAGACATCAGACAGGGGCCAGTGGACCAGCAGAGAATGGGGCACGGGATGTCACTACAGGGCAGAAGGACAGGTGTTCTAAGAAGATCAGGAAAAAGAGCTCTGGAAGGATAGTGATGATGAACACTAAGAAGTGTGCTAAGGGCAAATCATATGATAAATATGTACAATCTCCCACCCATCCCCACCCTCACTTTTCAAGGATTCTTTTTGAATGTCTAATCTGCTGGGATAAGACAATGGCTGAAGATGTCATCCACAAGGGCATTTTAGAAAGACAGGTCCACAAGGGCATTTTAGAAAGACAGAGATCCAACTTGAGGCAAAGAAGAAAAAGATGATGCGAGGAGGAGGCAAAGGGGAAGGGGAAGGGGCAAAGGAGATAGAATTAAGTAGGCTGGGAGTTTTGAGCAGGATAGAAGGAACAGAGATAAGGAACCGTCCAAAGATTGGGGCAATGGGGAGAGAGATGAGTAAAGGCCCTTGTTAAGAAGTCTTCCCATACATCATGTGATATGTCCTGCCCCTGTGACACTGTTTCAAGACCCCTTCACTAAAGATTCAGAATATTTTTCATGGCTCTTTGGAGAGGAGTAGTGTTTCTTTTATTTGTGATACTAGGCTGAGAAATAGGCTTGAGAAAACCATGGTTCCTCTGTTTAGGGTGAGATAGAGAGCTTTAAGATTTTTTTTTTTTTTTTTTTTTTTTTTTTTTTTTTTAAAGATTTTATTTATTTGAGAGCGAGAGAGAGAGAGAATGAGAACACGAGAGGGGGTAAGGTCAGAGGGAGAAGCAGACTCCCCGCTGAGCAGGGAGCCCGATGTGGGACTCGATCCCGGGACTCCAGGATCATGACCTGAGCCGAAGGCAGTCGCTTAACCAACTGAGCCACCCAGGCACCCGAGAGCTTTAAGATTTTTAACGTGGAACCCAAGTGGGCCCAGGCTGGAGCTGTGGAAAATGGCTGTAGTAGGTGTTGGAGGTGAAAATAAAAAGAATTGAGGTCAAAGAACTTTTAAACTAGAATACCAGAAAAACAATGCAGGTGACTCAATATTTGAGTTGAACATGAAGTTGGTGGGGCAGGTCCCAAAGTCTTCAGTGAACAGAGTGGAGGGTCTAGGAGGCAAGTGAGTGACAGCAGTGAGAGGGAGGGTGTGGTATAATCAGATGGCAGGAGCGGGGACATTCAAGCACCTCGGAGAGAGCACTAGGAAAAGGGCTCCAACATCCCACACCCTTCTGACCCAGAATTAATGGGGTATGCCAAATAAGCAACCACTATTTACAAGAGCCACAAGGGGAAGTGATGTCCTGGAAAGAGAATCAATTGGCAGTTAAAACAGGTTCATGGAAGGGTGGAAGAGGTTTTCCTTGGTACTGAACACAGAGTGAAGAGTTAGGATGGAAGGGAGTAGTAGGGAATTTGGGTCAGCAAAGCAGAAGCAGAGAGCTGGCTTTTCACATGGTTGGCTCTTTCTCAGTTCACAAATTACCTCCTTGACCTTGCTACCTCAAGTAGCCCTGCCTCCCCAGCTACTATATAGCATTTCTCCCTGTATATTTCCTTTCTATTACTTAATATTGAATGAATGAGTGAATGAATGAATGATCTGGCTCCCTAATCAGCAGATACCATCTCCATTAGAATGTAAACTCCATGAAAGTAGGTAGCTTGTCTATTTATTCACTGCTTTTTCCCCAGTGCCTGGCACATAGTAAGCACTCAATAAATACATGCGAAATCAGTTAGTTAATGAACAGATGAATGGATGAATGAATGGCAGCCCTATGAAGTCGAGAAGACAGAAGAGCACAGATGTCCACAAAGCTCTCCCATTTGGTGAGGTACCTCGGAATGAAGGGGTGTATGCCCTGGTGTGCATGGAGTCTCCCATTTGACTCCTGGGAACAGATAGCTCCTGGCCTTGTTGCTGTGTCCTGGGAAGTAAGTCTTAAGGAGAGATACTTGCTTAAATCCACACTCATGCATTGGGATTTGTTCGCTCCAAGTTCTAGCCTAAAAATACTCCTCTCTGATATCAAGGACAAAATTTATAAACATGAAAGTGGTTATTATGGTTTAATCACAGGCTTGGTGGTAGTGACTCTTGGCAATCTCCCTGGGGTATTAACAAGAACAGAGTAAATATGTCATGTAGGTGGTATTTTTAGTCTCACCACCCCCCTAACCCAAATGGGAACATCCCTGCAGAAGGTCCTTGTGACTCCCTGGGCTCCCCACCCCCAGCCCTTGCTGCCCAGAAAGCACAGTGGGTGGGGGCTATGGTGTCTGCCACTAAACAGAGTGAGGAAGGCAGGTGGGGGCTGCCTTGGACCCAGCTCATTCCTTGTCAAATGGGCACCTGGGTCCTGGCCCCAGGGTCAATAACCAGCCTACGCTTCCTAGTTCCTGCGGCCAACTCCCATACCTCTTCCCCAGGATGAGGCTTGGCTGAAAGTCAAATATATCTCTTCAGACCCATCCCCTGAAAGCACCCCCCTTTCTGTGACCCTCTTCCCAGAATTGACGGCTTCAGGAAAAAAAAAAAAAGGACAGATAATCCCTGACTGAGCCATGAACCCAACCAAAAGAGTTTCACAAACTATGTCTTTTCCATTCAATGCAAGAAGGGTTTTGAACATAAAGTTTACACTCCATTCTGAAGGTGGGCTGCACGGCAGGTGCCACGAAGATGTTAAGTGGGTTGGCACTGGGGCCAAGGATTAGCCTGCCTCTCTCCCCACACCCCCTGCATGGCAGGTGGGATTCTGAACCTGGGCAAGCTCCCTTCAGAGCCTGGGTCCTTACCCAAGATGGGGTTCTATCTGAGCAGCCCATCTACCCTCCCCAGGAGTTTAGGTTCTATGGAAGGTATTGTTTAGGGCTGTACGCCAATATTGACCTCACTTCTGTTCGCTTTTATTGGAGAACAAACTTCTCTCACTTGAAGAACATCTGGTTCAATGGAGCTGACTCTAGCCTCAGTTCTAGAGGTGGCCTGTGACTCAGTCCGGGCCAATCAGAAACTACCGTTTCCCCAATCCCAGAGGGATCTGTGGGATTGGTCCCCGGGATGGCCTAAAAGAGCCTAAAAGAGCCCATAGAGATCCCTGAGGCCACCTGCTTTACCAACTTGCTATAAGACTTTGCTGGGAGACACTTACCTCTGTGAGGGTCAGTTTATAAATGTTAAATTCGTTTAGAGCTACTCACCCTGTGACCAGGGCAGCATCAGCATCATCTAGAAGTCTGATAGAGATGCAGATACTTAGGCCCTACCCAGACCTTCTCTATCAGAATTTCTCAGGGAGGGGGACCAGAAATTGTATGCTGTGGTGAATCCTCCAAGTCTGATGCTCACTGAAATTTGGGAAGCACTGGATGAGCCGGTTTCTGAATCTATGCATTCGTCAACCACTTTATAAAGAAAATTAGGAGAAACAGATAAGGAGGGGTGCCTGGGTGGCTCCATCGGTTGATTGCCTGCCTTCGGCTCAGGTCATGATCCCGGAGTCCTGGGATCAAGCCCCGCATCAGGCTCGGGGATCAGTGGAGAGTCTGCTTCTCCCTCTCCCACTTCCCCTGCTTGTGCTCTCTCTCTCTCTCTCACTTGTTCTCTCTGTGTCAAATAAATAAATAAAATATTTTTAAAAAATAAAAATAAATTTTAAAAAAAAGAAAGAGAAACCGATAAGGAAGGGTCCATCATTGCCAATCATTCTCCCTTTTTCTCTCTCTCTCTTCCATTTTTTTTAAAGATTTTATTTATTTTTTGACAGAGAGAGACAGCGAGAGAGGGAACACAAGCAGGGGGAGTGGGAGAGGGAGAAGCAGGCTTCCCGCTGAACAGGGAGTCCAATGCAGGGCTTAATCCCAGGACCCTGGGATCATGACCTGAGCCAAAGGCAGACACCCAACGACTGAGCCACACTCGCGCCCCTCTCTCTTCCATTTTTGCTTACCATCATCTTCTACTCTCATTACAGAGGCCTTCCCACGCCACTCCGGGGGCAGCAGAAAGCATGTGGAGAGCCTCATGCCCTTCCTGCGTCACTGCCACCGAACCAGCCTTCCTGCACTCGGGCTGTCACAGCATGCCTGCACCCGATAGATGGAGAATGCAAGCAGGAGCCACATCTGCTAGTTGGTGGCTCTACCCTTGGCTCCTATGACTGCCTGACGTCTGGCTGGCCCCAGGAAGTATTTGCTGAGTGGATGATAATGAGGCCTGCCTCCCCAAGGCCCCCCGGGTTCTACAGAGAAATTCCCAGACCTGTCTTGGAGTCTGTATTAGCCTGCCTGGGCTGCTATAACAAAATATGATAGAGGTGCCTGGGTGGCTCCATCGGTTAAGCGTCTGCCTTCAGCTCGGGTCATGATCCTGGAGTCTAGGGATCGAGTCCCGCATCGGGCTCCCTGCTTGGCAGGGAGTTGGCTTCTCCCTCTGACCCTCCCCCCTCTCATGCTCTCTCTCTCATTCTCTCTCTCTCTCTCTAATAAATAAATGAAATCTTTAAAAATATATATATATGACAGATTGCATGGCTCAAACCATAGAAATTTCTTTTCCCACAGTTTTGGAGGCTAGGAAGCCCAAGATCAAGGTTCAGCAAGCTGTTTCTGGGGAGGGGACTTCCCAGCGTGAAGACAGCCACCTTCTTGCTGTGTCCTCACATGGCTTTTCCTGGGTTTGTGCACACAAGCTCTCCGGTGTCTCTTCTCATGACACTCATCTTACTGGATTAGAGCCCTGCCCTGATGATCTCATTTCACCTTATTTTATTTTGTTTTTATTTATTTTTTTAATTTTTTCCCCCATTTTTTACTTCTTTTCTCTTTCTCTTTTTCTTTCTTTCTTTCTTCTTCTCATTTAACCTTAAGGACTTCCTTACTCCAAATGTAGCTACACTGGGATTAGGGCTCCAACATGTGAATTTCAAGGAGGACACGAGCATTCAGTCTCTAACAGAATCCTATTAATTTCCCTGTTCCTTCTCAAAAGCCCACACCTCTGCCTCATTCTCCTGTTCTCTTCTTCCCTTCACCACGGCCCCAGGGCCAAGGCAGTTTTCTTTTCTTTACAGCAGGAAAAATTAACTAAGCAAATCATCTTCTAAACTATGGTAGAAACCGGGATCTCAGCCCAAGCAGCTCAAATGCCAGAAGGGAGCTGTGACCCTGTCCCTCAAGGCAAAGATGCTTCGTTTCTGGTTGTCCAAGTGGATGAGGGTAAGGGAGAATCACAAGTTGGGGGGGAGGACACATCAGAACAGAAGAGTACCCCTCTATATAAATAATCACTGTATAAAACACAGAATAAGCAGCGCGAGTGATGATTTTTATCTCATGTAAGTTAGGGGGAAAATAAAGAAAACTATTTAAAATGAGAATAATCATGATACGTAAAAGCAAAAACAATCTGCAGAGCATCGAGGATGGTGTGACCTCGTTTTTATTAAAATAAATGAATATGTGTGTGGTAATACGTTTACATGATTTATGGGTTTAAAGGGGGGAAAAAACCCTGAATGAGGCAGACACCCAGCTGTTCACAGTGGGTACCTCTAGGGAATGTCATTAGGGAGGGAAGATTTTTACTTTTTATTTTATACACATCTGCATTTAAATAAGCCTATTAAAAGTTGCATGTGAAGGGCGCCTGTGTGGCTCAGTTAGTTGAGCGGCTGCCTTCGGCTCGGGTCATGTTCCCAGGGTCCTGGGATCGAGCCCTACGTCGGGCTTCCTGCTCAGCAGGAAGCCTGCTTCTCCCTCTCCCTCTGCCTGCCGCTCTGCCTACTTGTGCTCTCTGTCTCTCTGTCAAATAAATAAATACAATCTTTAAAAAAAAAAAAAAGTTGAGACGAACCATGAGAGACGATGGACTCTGAAAAACAAACAGGGTTCTAGAGGGGAGGGGGGTGGGAGGATGGGTTAGCCTGGTGGTGGGTACTGAGGAGGGCACATTCTGCATGGAGCACTGGGTGTTGTGCACAAACAATGAATCATGGAACACTACATCAAAAACTAATGATGTAATGTATGGGGATTAACATAAGAATAAAAAAAAAGTTGCCTGTGAATAATAAAATGCTAAAATGGGATGAGCAAGACAATGGAAAGAAAAGACTCCATACTTAAGATACAATGCTTCTTTTATTAAGATTCCAATAAAACAAGGCAGAGAAAGACAAAGGTAGATGGGGTTTGAAATTAAAGAATGAAAATCGATGTGAAGAAACTATAACAATTACACATACAAAGTTAAAAAAAGGAGTCCCTACAAAAAAATTAAAAGATGTCACAATGAGGAAGGCAATATAATCAATATTGAAAAAAAACAATGTGTAGGGCGCCTGGGTGGCTCAGTCGTTAAGCGTCTGCCTTCGGCTCAGGTCATGATCCCGGGGTCCTGGGATCGAGCCCCGCATCGGGCTCCCTGCTCCGCAGGAAGCCTGCTTCTCCCTCTCCCACTCCCCCTGCTTGTGTTCCCTCTCTCGCTATCTCTCTCTCTGTCAAATAAATAAATTTTAAAAAAAAATCTTTAAAAAAAAAAAAGAAAGAAAGAAAGAAAAAAACAATGTGTAGGAGAAAATTTAAAAACCAAAGACCAAAGGTGAGAGGCAGAGCAGAAGGCCAAGGAAGAAATTGTTAAAAGCAGCTAAGGGGGCGCCTGGGTGGCTCAGTCGGTTAAGCGACTGCCTTCGGCTCAGGTCATGATCCTGGAGTCCCGGGATCGAGTCCCGCATCGGGCTCCCTGCTCGGCGGGGAGTCTGCTTCTCCCCCGACCCTCCCCCCTCTCATGTGCTCTCTCTCTCTCAAATAAATAAATAAATAAAATCTAAAAAAAAAAAAGTGTTAAAAGCAGCTAAGGGTTGCAGCTTTGTTGACGTGCGTTTTGTCGGCTTCCCTCATGACCAGTCTGCTGTCAGAATTACTTTGTCCAAAACACCCTCAGCCCCTTCCACCCCCACCTCACACTCCCTTTGGCTCCAAATTCTGTCCACTGTTGACTTGTCGAGCACCTGCTGCTCGTGAGCACAGGACGTGGCTCCTTAAGTCAACAAAAACGCAAATCAACAACAACGAAAAAGGGAGCTGAGTTGGGGGAGCCCAAGCCAGAGGAGATGCAGTTCTGTGTTTTGCAGTCTTAGCTCTCAGGGGGAGCACACACTTCGCCCTCCCTGGGGCAAAGCAGAGTGAGTTGAAATCCCAGGCAAACGACCTCTCTGCGCTTCCATGTTTGTACAGTGAGGGAAGTAAGAACCTACCACATGGAACAGTTAGGAGAACTGAACACACATAAGGAGCATTAGAAACCACTCACATAAGATCAATGCTCTCCTTTTGTAAAGGAGTAGAATGTGGTTTGAAGATTTCTCCACCAGCATACAGCAAGAATGTAGAGGGTTTGTACTGAACTGATGTCCTCTCCCTCCGGGGATTTTTTTCATCATGCTAGGCTTGGTATGGGGATTACATTTTGTGTAATTTGTTCACTGTCCTCACGGGACATTTTTGGTTGTACACCTTCAAAGTTTCCAAGGAGCAGAGCTTTTCAGAGAGAGGCTGTCACTTCCACCCCAAAAGTGTATAGTAGGATCAGCTGAGTCCCTTGATGCTAGGATTGAAGTTCAGCTTTCAAAAAAGAAGAAGAAGAAGTTCAGCTTTCACTCAAAGGGCTTTTCCAACATTAAGGAGAGGAAGACTCACGTGTCCTCCCCTGGGGTTGGGGTGGGGAGAGGACCTAGCCTTTCGTTTTGCTGTCATCCCTGTTCCCTTATTGGAAGACAGACTCAAAGGTTCAAAGGGTGATGTAATAGAGCTGTCTTTTTGTAAAATGAATTGAAATTATATTTTTGGCATATTTGGGATGCCAAAAATGAACCAAATAGCCATTAAGCAGTCAGGAACGGCCACCTGCCTACCCACAGCTGCTAGAAACCCTCTTCATGCCTGGCCTCGAAGCCAAGAATGGAATTACATGGAAGAAAGCAGAGCCAAGAGATGGAGAGTGTGAGATGGAAACTTGATAATGCCCCATGTGAGTCGCCAGAGCCAGATACTCCTGAATTCTTCCATTCCATGAGCCCGTATCTTGCCTTAAAGCCAGTTTGCTTGGTTTCTACCTGTTGCAATAGGAAAGGTCATAAATTTACCCACCCTCTGCTGCCTCTTCCCGAAAATGTTTTCGGGATACACTTCCCTGCCTCAACAGTGCCCCCCCATATCCATTGTCTCATCTTGGAGATAAATGGGGATAAAATCCCAGGGGTTTCCAACATTATCTCCTTCTTTGGGGGTACCCCAAGGGCCAGCGGAGTCATCAGGCCATTGTGGTACCATTCAGCTTTTGATTTACCAACCATAATGAGAAGAGGACTCCAGGCTCTGTTCTAGAGGTAGTGGTTAGTCACTGAATTAGAATTTGAATACTGGTAGGCAAAATCTCTAAAATATAATTGGCCAGGCAGGGGTCCACCTTCACAGGTGTCTCGTGCAGTGACCTGTCCACTCTTCATCACCATGCCACTCTCTTTGGTGCCTGACCACTTAAGTTTCTGGCTACTCATATGGTCTCTGTGGTTCTCCATTACCTGTATCTCTCGCTGGCTGGTAGGAAAATGCCCGTCCCTCCAACATTCAGACTTTTCCACGATGCGTCATCTTCACTAAGAGTTTCAGGCTCTTGATGGCATCCTTATTCCATCTTACTGCCTGATGGCCTCTGGGAGGTCCCCCAACATGGTGACTCAGGCCACAGGTGAGGCAGTTCTTCTCATTCCACCAGCCTTTTCCTTTTCGGGGAGCATGAACCCTCAAGTCTGACCTAGACCCAGAATCCCTGCTCCCTCAACTTCCCGACTCCCTCCCTCAACAGAGCCCAGACTCCAAGAAACTGTTCCTCCCTGAATCTGGGGATGAATGTTGGGGAGGAAAAATTTTTTTCTACCCTTCAAAAACTCTTCTGGCCGGTCTACAAATTAAACTGACATGAGAGTAAATTAACAGGAGAAAATCAAATTTAATTTTGTACATACAGGAACCTCACGTCCACAAGGGGTTCAAAGACAGAGAGGTAAAATGAGGTATGTACTCTATCCTGAGCCTGGGACTTCAAAGGGGAGGAGGGTAATTCACAGGGCAATAAGAAGAGCTGGTGTTTGGTAATTAGATGTTTGCCCTGTCATACAGATGGGTCACTCAAATAAAATTTATCTCCGGTAATAACTCTTACTCTGGGAAAGACTCCAATTTGGATTCTCCTAGGTAGTTAAGGGAAGGGCAAAAGTTTCTCTTGAGCCTGCAGAGTCTCAATTGCTTTCAGTTCAAAATAGTCCACATGCCAAAGTGGCACATTTTGGAGAGACTTGTCCTGAACCTCTTCATTGTTTAGGGGTCTCTGTTGCCCCTCCTCCCAAGCAGGTTTCCATCAGATACACTCCACATTCCTTAGACATGTCTGAATGTGTCTGGACCCAAACTGCAACCTTATCTTTCCTCCTGGGCCCTGGGCAGGTAAGCTTCTGGCTTGAGAGAATGAATCAGATACTTCTTAGGTGTCCACAAGCATTTTGTGCAGTTAAGACATCTCTGTCGCCCAAAATTTACAGAAAGACCTCCGAAGCACTACTATCTAACTGCACAGAACAGCATAGTCAAAATGAGACAGGGAAACTAAAGGGACCCCATGAAAAAAAGCTGCTTTTTAATTTGTTCCTTTTCCTGCCCTTATTCTTGCTAGGACCTGCACCCTTGCCCCCTGCATGCCTTAATGTATGTTCTCCTTGTAAAGGTCAAGGAGCTAAAGATTTCTTTGCAGTCTTCCAGCATGATAGATGATATCTAAGGAGTGGCCAGGTGGTCATGGAGGTTCTCTGAGACAACTGACTCCAAACAC